CCGAAAAGAGATATATAGGGAGATAAGATAGGGTGGGTGCTTTTAATGAGAATTAGATGTCCTCCCTTCAATGAGAATTTCCTCTTCCAGTTGACAAGTCGACTTTGAAACATATCTATGATCGAATCCCCGTATTTTTTGTCCTTATATTTGGCCCCAAGTACAGTGTCTAGATACGTGATGGGTAATTGAGAAACTTTACAACTTACAACCTATTCCAGGGATTCACCAGATTGCGATCTCATCGCCACTAATTTAGATTCGTGAAGATTGATTTTGAGACCTAAAATCGTTGAAAACATAATAAAGTGAATTTCAAGAAAATCAGGGAGCAGATGTCAGATGTCGGGTTGACAGAAAATAAGAGCGTCATCCGCAAAAAATAGATGTGTTAATTCTGTGTTATTACCCCTGTGTCCCATAGAGATCCTTTGTAGTAGTTTAAGCTCTTTGGCCCTTTCCAGTAATTTGTTCAAAGTCTCCATAACAATAATGAAAAGGAGAGGAGATAGAGCGTCATCTTGTCTTAGACCTCTCGAGGCAGTGAAGAAATTTGAAGGGCCCCAATTCACAATGATTGCAAAGCTAGTGGTGGTAATACATGTTCTAATCCAACCTTTCCATTTTGTACCGAAACCACATCTTTCAAACATATAATCAATGAAGTCCCAACTTACATGATCAAAAGCTTTCTCAATATCAAGTTTACACAAAGTACCTTGTTTGTTGTTCCTGATGACATCATCCACCGTTTCATTGACGATAAGAATAACATATGTAATTTGTCAACCATAAACAAAGGCATTCTGTGAGTCACCAACTATCTTATGAATGACTGTAGATAATCTTTTGGCCAGAACCTTTGAGAGTAATTTGTAAATGCACCCAATGAGGTTAATAAGTCGAAAGTCTCTAATGTTCTTTGGATGGCTCTTTATGAGGCTAGTAGGTAACTTGATATTGATGGTGATTGAGTTCCCTTCATATTTCTTGAGCTTACATACATGGAAAACTGGATGTACCCTTGAATCTGGGGGTAACTTCAATAGGTAGGCTACCGCCTCCACCTTCTTTTCCACCTTAAAGGGACCGTAGTACTTGGGTGCCAATTTTAAGGCACCTATGGAAGATTGATGGTAGGGCTGTAGTTTTAATAACACCCTATCTATTTCTGCAAATATCCTCTCTGTTCTTTTAGCATCTGCAAATTGCCACATTCTATTTTGAGACTCAAGTAATTGCTCCCTTAGGATTCTATTCATACATTTTTTTCTCCTTTAGCCAGTCTTCCATACTTGAAAAGGGGTGCAGTTCAATCCCTTTTCTCCATAAACAGTGGATGTGGGTACCCATGAAGGGCTATGAAGGGTGGCATCTGAGACTTGAATGATAGGTGTTATACCACCATTCTGCAAGAGACATCCATTTTGACTTAAGTGCTTGGCTTCTTAGAAGTCATGCACCGCAAGTAGTTCTCTATACACTTATTCAACCTTATTTGTTTGACGATCACATTTGTTAAAGATCCCTTTCCCAAATACTAGCTAACATTCTGGGTTTGCCTATGGGGATGAAGTATAAGGATGTCATAATTTGGGATTCCATAGTTGCAGGGTTGAATCTTAACTGCCTATAGATGGAAGACTAATTTGCTCTCCAAAGGTGGAAGTCTAATTCTTATTAAAAGCAGCACGGTCAACATCTTAATTTACCATATGCCTTTGATGACAACGTATGTGAGCATGTCCAAAAAGCTAAAAACAATCCAATGCAGGTTCTTATGGGGCGACTCTAAAGTGAGAATGAGATACCATCTTGTGGCTTCGAATGTGGTTAAACATCCAATTCAATATGATGGCCTAGGGTTGAGGTATTTGGTTTATGCTAACGAGGCTCTTCAAAGAAATGGCTGTAGATATTTATAAAAGAGCAAGACAGCTTTTGGACGAGAACGGTAAGAGCTAATTTTGGCACAGAGGGGAAAGGCTGGTCAAGGTCTCCTATTTGGCCTCTTGGTATAGGATTGTGGAAGAAAATTTGTTTGATGAGGAGTTCTAAAACTGTATTACGTGGCTTAGATGGCTCAAGTGGTTTAGTAAGAGAGTGACTTTGTGGCATGATATGTGGTTAGATGGTGGAATGCTCAAGTTAAAATTTCCCCAAGTACATTGCTATAGGTCGTCACAAAGTGGCCATGGTCCAAGAGTCCTTTAATGATTTGCCAAGTAACGGATTGTTGCTGGTGGAGATCACAAAAACCTTCATAATTCGGAGATCAACGAGTATGAGGCTCTTCTTTTTGCACTCTCCAAGTGAATTTCCTAGGGGCCAAGGATTACCCTAGTTGGAGACTCAATGCTAGTGGGATTTTCTCTGTTAAAATCCTTCTATTACACTAGGCCAAGAGAGATGAGATGTGCATGCATTTTCCCTTGAAACAAACCTGGAAGGTTAAAGCTCTGCCTATAGTGGCTTTCTTTGCCTGGGACACAGCAAGAGAATGCATTTTAACTTTGGATGAATTAGTTAGGAGGGCATAATTCTAATTAATGGTTGTTATTTTGTGCAAAAGGGATGTAGAATAATGCTGCCACATCCTTTTGTGGTGTCCGTTTGCTTACAGATTGTGGACTCTAGCTTACAATCGTTTGCGAATATATTGGATGATGGCTGGATCTCTGAGGGATGAGATATGGGCATGGAGGGAGATTCATAGTGACAAGAACTTCGTAAGCCTTATTCCTTTTGGCAACTTCTGAGTAATTTTGAAGGAAAGAAATATGAGAATTTTTGAGAATTTAGAAATTAATTTCGATAGACTCAAGAAACTTGGTTCCAGACTTTAGGACTTTTTTATTAGGTCATCTTCATTATTCTTTTGAGGATCTTGGGGACCTTATCAATATTTTGTTTGACATGTAAAGATTTTGTACATGGGTTTGCACTCTCCTGGTGCCTGTGAATTGATATTATTTTTAGTTCAAGAACAAAAAAACAAAAAATGCCAATGTCCAAAATTTGGATGTTCCTCTAGATGGTTGTCATATTCAATGACAAAACTATGGATGAGAATGGAGACAACAAACATGAAAAACAGCAGTAATATAGCCATTAATCTAGTGGATTTTTCTTCTCTTTTTCTGGAGAAGAAAGACTAGAATATTATAAATAAGGCACCAAGCATGTGCCACCTGCATACAAAAGATTTTTCTTCCTTTTTTATTAAATGAAAAAGATTTTTCTTCTTTTAGAAGACCCATATATTAAAAAAGTGGGTTATATGATAGTCAAAATATCCGTAAGGCCCCTAAAGTTATAAAAAGAAGGTATCCCTTAAATAAAAAAATAAGAGGCTTTGGAATTAATGATCTCTAATCTTATAGAAAGGGGAGCAAACTCCCCCAAAGCCACTTGAAAGCCAATTGATCTACTGAATTCCTCTCTCAAATGAAAAGTTGATTGCTCAGTAAAAAGGAACGATCATTTCTAGTGGAAAAGAACATTTCCTTTTTGAAGAAGAGAAATTCGTAGATCACATCATTCATGAGAAAATATTTGAGCTGTTTTTTAATTTCTACAATGGGCTACTATGTAAATATATTTGGGGCTCGGGGGCGAAGGAGGGGAAGGGGAAGAAATGTAGAAACTAGTATTAAAGCATGTATATGTAACCTTTAAGAGATTTTATTCTCATAGATCTATAATTTTCTCGAAGAAGTCACCCTAGCGTGAAAGTCTGAATCATACTGACATGATCCATGTTTATTCCACTTAGATCTTGGTGCTAAGTATTATTTTACATAGGATCTTGGAGATAAGATCCTACATTGCAGATCAATAAGATGTCTGCGGGAGACTTGAAAATGCAGGAGGCTTCAAAATGCAATGAAAGGTTACAAATTCCTCTTGTGTTTTATCATTGGTCTAGTGAAGAAATCTCCACAATTTCCTTGACTAGTAAAACCTAAGATACCTGAAACCACTACAAACTGCTTCTGTTATGGATTCAAATAACCTCATGTATGATCTAGTGAATAAATTTCTAGAAGGATCATTGAATATTTTATAAATATTACCTCATACTATGAATCACTTGTATCATGCTATCTCTATTTCTTATCTTCTGTATTTCAATTCCTCGATAATTCTTCTTTTATTCTGCATGCCTATTCTTGCAGAAAGCACAAGCTATCTTTCCCGTCATTACTGTTTAAGCTCAAGTGTCACTAAGGCATTTTGCAATAGTAAAATGCACAATTACGACCCCTATCTAGTAAACAGCAAAAAGGTGCATAACAGTTTGGTTCAAACAAACAAATTGAATTGCAGCACGTTTGTACGATTAACCAAAGCAAGCATAAACAAATAATAATCTGAAAGGCACAAGTGTTCTAAATAATCAATGAAGCAATAGCAATTGCTAAAAGCTAAATAGCTAATTAATAAAGAGCTGACATGAACAGACCTCAACTGTTCGAAGTTCATTAAGAAGAGACTCTGAGGGACTTGTGATTGTCTGGAATATGTGAGAGCGCTGAAAAATTTATAACCATGTATTACTAAAGCAAAACAAAAACATGATACAAAAATCCCATTTCCATTTGCACAATAGAATAGTAACTCACGTAGCTGTCAACAAATTTCTGGAGTTCAAACTGTGCTTTTCCCAACATTAGTAAAACTTTACCTGCAAAGCAATAAAATTATTGGACCATTCCTGAAACTTATCATGGAATAGAATACCGTAAAAGTGTAACATATTCCTACAGAATGTACGCATGGATCAACTAACTCTTTTAGAATTGGTGCATGCCGATGATCCTTGTATCCATTAGAATATAGTTACATAGCACTTTAAAGACTACTGGCTAAAAGTGTGAACTGGCAGTTTGTATCACCATCAGTAATGGATAAAGGGATCTTTCCAGAACCATCTAAACTATATGCTAAATAAACGAGTCAAAAGATGGCTGAAATATAGGAGTCCTGTGGAACAGCTTAAGTGCATGCGGAAAAGGCCAAAAATGGAAACATAAAAAAGTCAATTCTTTAGTTGGTAGACTCAAATAGTTGTTAAAGATTGAACAAGTTGACAAAAAATAACTTTTAATTGAAATCCGTAAAGAATGCTGTATTGAAATCAATACACAACTTACATGGCAAGAGAAAAATTTATTGACAAGACACGTAGAGACAGAAACATAATTTCATCCACAATTTGATAACAGAATCTCATTTTTGTAATATTTCAAAAAAGAAATCTCATTCCTATAAGCTCCAAAAAAAAAAACTTACCTGCTACTCAAGCTTGGTGGTGATTTTAGAGAGCTTGAGAATACTTATTTGGTGTTTTTCTTTTCGGAAGTAACAAGTTACTTGATAAACAGACTGCTTATTAGGTTTTTATTTTTTTAATGTAACTAATTTACTAAATTACTTTCTCTATTTCATTTTAAAATTAACAGTATATATCTATACATATATTTGTGATAAATATTTATTTTTATTAGTTATCATAAAAAATAATTACTAACTTTTGGCGATGAACATTTTATGAAACAAGTACCTTTTCTTAAATAAGAATTTACTTGCTTTAAGTAACTTAAAATTTTATACTGCTTTAAGCATGTTTCTTTCAGCAATTACAAATACTCTCTAAAAGCATCATAAAAATTCTCATGTACTCACCACTTTCCTCATCATCATTCAATGCAGTTTTCTCAAGAAGACAAGCACCCATTTCCCGCAATGACTCTGAGAATTCTGCAGGTAAATATGTACTTTTGTAGTAAAAGACACGAGACAAACAGGCTTCATTTCTAGACATTAATAAGGGAAATTGACAAAATAACCATGCTCTTCAAATCATGGCTTAAGAATCCAATTCAGTCATTTTCCTCTGCAAGTATTGTTTAGAGATTATAAAAACTGAATCTAAAAGGAAACTTTAGAAAAAAAAAAAAACAAGTCTACCATAGGCACTGTTTGCAGTAGCTGCGGCTGCAGAAAGTAGACTATCATAACAGTCCCTCATATCCTGCATATCCTGCGAAACGAAAAAGACAAGTATGGTATCAAAGCATGCATATAAGTGTGTAGTAAGCTCTGGTTAATGTCACTATAATCTCTAGAAAGAATACACAAAGCATGGATGCCAAGTTGTTAACACGAACTAGAATCAATGCCAAATAATTCTGAATGGAAATGACTCAAATCAAGGCATCATTTAAACTATTTCTCTACTGATATATATAACTAATTAAAAATATTGCCAAATAAGCTTTATTCTATATAACCCAAAAAAGGCATCCAATTTAACAAGTTAATAAATAATCGAGCATTCGTCCGAAAAAGTTTAAGTAATCAAATAAGTAATTATCACAAACGGCATAAGTTCCAGATCCACAACAAACTCCAAAAAAGTTTCAGCATCTAAAGTTAAAGTTCTTTTAAGTATAAAAAGAATTTTTTTTTCCCCGGAGTTAAAATCCAAAAATTCACAAATAATTCACCATTGACGCCTCGTAAGGAAATGAAAATCATCAGAAAATGTTTACTCGACAAAAATAACAGGAAATGGAAAGAAGTAAAAAAAAAAATTCCCTTTTATTTGAGATAGAAATAAAGAGAAGTACCTGAGAGGCCTTAGCAAGCTCGTCTAATTGAGCGAGAGGTCGAAGATCCCTTCGGCTTTTAGCATCACCACCACCATGCCTGTGAATTGCACCTCGCAATCTTCTCAGAGAAGTCTTCATGGTTATGTACTCTTGCTTTCTCGTAGGTTTGGAACAAAGGAGAAGGAGAGATATAAAAAGAGTGAAATAAATCAAAGAAAACCGCCTGTATTCATGCGAGTTGGAACCGTGCCGATTCAATTGAATTCGAATAATAAGGGAGAAAGCTGAAACTAATCAACGAAATAATGATCTGTTTATCGTCATGGTCGTCGTCGTCTTCTTCTTCTTCTTCTTCTTCTTCTGCAACAATAAATCTGTGCTGTTACGTGAGGAGAGGAGAGGAGAGGCGAGAGACAGCAGCAAAGAGAAATTAACCATTTAGGGAGAGAATAAGAAAATTGTTAAAATGTCTCTTCTTGGGTTCCTGGGCTCTGCCCTTCTCTTCTTCCCATTACTATTTAATACTTTATTCACTATCAAATTGTATCTATAATGTTTATATTCTACTCATTTAAAAGTTATTTCATATTATTATAATTAATGTTTATATAACAACATAAAACTACAATTTCAATCATCCATTAACGAAAAATAAATCAGATTGTATGGATGAACTAAGAAACCAGTGGCTTCCCTGTATCTTTTGTAAATAGATTTGTGTGTGCCTATATAATATTATTCTTTGTAATGATAAAAATAAAAAATTAAATATAATTTAATTAATTGCTAGTACATGAATATTAAAACTGAAAATATATATACATATATATAAATATATATATATAAATACAATTACCAAACTGTACTTATCATAATTTTTTGTATTTCCGTACAATTATTAATCCAAAATAAGTCTTAAAAATTTATAATTTTAATATTTAAAAAAAATAGAAAAAGTATATGTAAGCAAATGAATTCTCGTTGAATGGGTACAAACCTTTTAATAATTTGTTCGTTAACAACATAATTGACTGTTGACTTTTTTAGGCAAGTGTTGACTAATTAAAACCAAAGTGAATAATTTATTCCAAAATAAAAATGAAAGTTGTTATGCATTTTATTATAATTATAAACTACATCAAGTTAGATCTTTACAAGAATTAGATTAAAATATTAAAATACTCCGTGAATTATACTAAAAAAAATTCAATTTTTTTAAAATGTATATATATTTTTTTCACAAAAATTTTAAAATTTTTTGTATATATTAACTTTCTCTAAAAATATTTGAATTGGTTAACTCAACAAAAAATATGGATAAATTATATTATATTCGTTCAAATTTACTGACATAGCGTCCACATCGATGCCCATGTGGACTCCATCTCAACAAACCTATTAACTTTTTTTTACATCACCCAACTCAATTCGTAATTCTTTTATCTATTCTTCTTCCATCTCATGTATGTCATAAACAACGTAGGCTTCCTTATCCCTCCACTCTCTCCCTTCGCTCTCATTCCTCCATCATAATGCATCTTCATCTCATCTTATCCTAAACTCATAATCTATTATCTCTGGGTTTTTTCCTACCAAATACCTTTACAAATCTCTTTCACCAAAATCAAGGTCATTCCTCTCTCTTAAAATAACTTCAGTAGACTTATTACCGATATAATACAATGGAGTTTATCAAATTTGAAATGATACTCGGTCTTAACACTGTTTCTATTGTTGTATTTTTTCGTTGACAAGATCAATAGTTTTTTTCTTTATGTTAGGTATCTTTATTTTGATATACACTAAGAAACACACTCGCACTCTCATAATCCCTTTTTTTGTCCTTGATAAACATCCGCATGTTGACCTCGCAATTGATGGCGCCAACAAGGTGATCCTTTCTTGACCCTATCAAGGTTCATGTCGGCATTTTTCTACAAAAGAAGATGGTGGAGGTTGCCATCAATAAGTTTATATTAGTTGTGGATGAGACTAGACTGGTTTCTAGGTTTGACAATAGTAGACTCATCATGCCGATGAAGTTCGTTCAATAGATCAATTCCATTGAAAGTACAATATGGTGAGGCTACAGGAGTAGTTCAAGGAAAATGGATCTGAGGCAAAGTTGAGAATGGATGCTGATAGGAAACCATACATCATGGATAATATTAATTACATTGTGGATTGTATTTCAAGAATATATTCGCCCATCAAATGCATATCAGAAACATTAACAAAACAAACTAAACTTCAATCAACATCAATTTACAATTAATGTAATTTAATAAAACAAACTAAAAACACATTCAACACCAAACTACAACTGATATTTTTTATATTTTCTATAAAATTTCAATTTATTTAGTCCTTACTGAAACTAAACCAGATTAAAGGTTAAAACTTTCAATATTCTCATATGAAACCGAACACAAACCCAAACATAACTTGATCCTCTACAATTTCTTCTATTCAGTGGGACCTAATTCAACCCAATTTTCAGTTCAATTCAGATTCTAAACGCCCATAACTGATAAGTAAAGAGTGAGAGAATATATATGCGTTGTTGTGTAGCCTAGTTGGTTGTAGCAAATAGGAGTTTCTCATCCCAACAATTTCATAAACAAAGACAAGTACTTGCATCTCACTATCTTGGGCAATTGACATTAACACAATCAATGATTATCTTGCGGGAAGAAATCTTTCGACATAAAAATGTGTTTGATCCAAATTTCATTTAAACGTGTGGATGACTGACTTAAACAGAAAGAGTAGCGACTGCAGCACACCCATTCCTGCCTTATCCATGGTACATTATTCATGTCATGCCTTTTAGAAGAAAAATTCTTGAGGCAATAGCACATTATTATAAATATATAATAGATCCAAAAAAACTTTTCAGTTGAGCAGGCAATTGCTTGCTTGATCGCCAAATTCACGTAACGAAATGCAGCCACAAAAAAGATTCCGCCATTGCCATATCTCAATTATTTAGTCAGTGGCTCCTCTTGCAAATTGCCCAAACATGTTGAAAGGGGAAAAGAATTGTACAGTGAGTCTATGACACCTGAAAGTTTCATTATTTTTTTTCACATAGAAGATAACATAAGTCAAAATTGACAGTGCAAACCAAAAAAAGAATCAGCAAAAGATAAACAGTCAGAAATCATAGCAACCTGGATGATCAGTACAATTATGCAGCTGCAGCCATTGGCATAGATCTGTAACATGCTCTCTTTGCCGCTCGGACAATATCTTCAATCTGGGAAACCAGTTAACCAAGAAGCAAGTAATAAGTGTACAATTATTGGGTTTTGGCTTCCTGCCAAAACTAGGCAACTGCATACAGCAACAATTTCAAACCTCAACTAGCACAACCCCAGATGGATTAGATGCACTCTTCATCCACATAGCGGATTAGCATGCATGTAAATTAACTTCGGTAGATAACACACCTGAGGGACAGCCATTCTCTCAAGATTGGCTGCATATGGCATTGGAACATCAGCTCCAGCAATCCTCTCAACAGGCGCATCGAGATACCCAAAGCTATCCTCAACAACAGATGCACTATTCGCAGAAAGAAGCAAAACATACAGGTAAAGAAGGTTTCTAGAATAAACACACAGAACTTAATTAATATCTTGCAGGACAGAAGATATACCAGATTTCAGCACCAACACCATGCTGCGGAAAGCCCTCTTCAACTGTTACCAGTCTGTTAGTTTTCCTGACCGAGGCATTGATAGTGGCCCTATCAAGTGGCCTTATTGAGCGCAAATTTATAACCTATATTTATAAAATCAATTATTGAAATTGTAACCAAAAGATGAACTTGAGGACCAGCACCTCTGCTTGTAAGTTTACCTCAGCACTGATTCCTTCTTTTGCAAGTATTTCAGCTGCCTGTAAAAAATAATGAAATCATAGATTGAGAGACTGATATTTTATGTAGAATAGAAATTTTCTGGAGTGGATGTATTTTACTACTATGGGATATTCATGTAAATAGACACGTAACAGCCATGTAATTGTAGTTTCTGTCAATTCCTTTGATAGTGGATTCAATTTATCCTTTTTTTTTTAATCTTTCAAACCCCTATTCCGCATACCTATCAAGTTGGCCTCAGAGCTACCTTTAATGTTCCTCATAACAAACTTTCTGTTCTCCCCAATTTACATACCATAAAATCCCAATAAACGTTCTGAGAAGAAAAACCCTAGCAAAATCGTACTAGAGAGGAAAGTCACAAAAACCTAGCCAACGTCATTGAACTTTTTCCTAAATCCAGCTGCAGCCAAGAGGTGGATGATATTGCCACTATCATCTCCACTAAAGACGGTTAGCCAATGCCCCAATGAGCTGCAGCTTCAAATATTGCCAAAATCAGCCACACGCAACCCCCAAACTCTCGAATCATCATTAACTTATAAAAACTTGCCTTCTCATGACACATCCACAACATTCAATACCCATACCAAAACCAGCATGACCAAACAAATTGTTAGATGGAATCCCAACATTTGACGGTCATCACAAGACAACCCATGGATCTTATGTGCACGTAAACCTTCTGAAGTTGACCAATCCAAACTGACTTGACCACATCGAGTTTGCTTAACCCAGTTCAGTTGACTCCAAACCAGTTCTTGACCATTTCAGACCAGTTTGTCAGGCTCTAGGCTTATTAGGGTTTAGCTGTGGGCCAGAAGAAAGCTAGAGGGAAGAGAAGGGAGGTCGGGAGAAGAGAGAAAAGGGGAAGAATAATAAAGTATGAGGAAATAACTAGATTTTTCCTTGATTCTTCCTGAATTCCTGCTTGCATATCTGTAGTGCCAATCATTGGCAGCAGGACAGACCACTGTTCATGACAGCATTACTCTTGCGGGTAATGACCCGTTTTTGCAGAGTTATTTTGGCTCTATCTTAACTTGTCCATCTGAATCCATGAATGGCAGGAAGCTGTATTCAAGGTTGTCGTCTCCTTCATATTTCTTTAATTGGGACACGTGGAGTGCATTGTGGATCCTAGCATTTTGAGGCAGCTTCAGCTTGTAAGGTACTGTCCCGATTTTCTGTATCACCTGAAAAGGCCCATAAAATTTAGGTGCCAGTTTCAAACATTTTCAGATTGCGATACCGGACTGGAGATAGGACTGCAATTTTAATAGCACGCAATCCCTTTCTCAAATTGTCTCTCGGTCCTCTTTTTATCCTTAAAGAACTTCATGCGGTTCTGCAAGTCCATGAGTTGTTCCCTAACCATTCGATTCATTACTTGCCTTTCTTCTAGCCATTCCTCAAGCTTAGCCATCCTGGTGCCTCTACTTTTGCTCTCAATGACTAGTGGAGGGGGGTACCCATATAAGGCCATGAAAGGTGGCATTTTTAAGCTCAATTAATAGGAGTTGTTATACCACTACTCTAAAAACCCTAGCCATTTGACCATGCCTTCGGCTTCTTGGAAGTCATCCATCATAGATAACCTTCAATATATTGGTTGGCCCTCTCCATTTGCCCATCAGTCTCCAGGTGGTAGGCTAAGCTGTAGTGGAGTCTAGTTCCCATCATCTTCATCAATTCTTGCCAGACCTGACTTGTAAAGACCTTATCTCTGTCAACGATAATGCACCTTGACATCTTGTGGAGCTTATAGACCTGATCCAGAAAAATTCATGTGATGTTTTGAGCAGTGAAGGGATGTGACAAAGCCAGTAAGTGGCCATACTTGGTAAATCAATATACCATAACTAGAATGGTATCCTTGCCTTCTGACTTTAGTAAGCGCTATATGAAATCCATTGATATATCAGTGCAAGCCTGGCTAGGAATATTGAGAGGTTGAAGCAATCCTACGTAAGCTATATTTCCCCTTTGCACCTTTAACATAGTTC